CAGTGATCATGCGGTAGTACTCTGGACTGATAAAACGGGGAAGACTGTGGAAACCGAAATCATTGCACAGGAATCAGCATTCGTCCGCTGTAATGGGAGTTGCTGGGATGCAACAAAAGCAGACTATCTATTATCTGTTTGCAGACAAGAGAATATTTGGGTTGATTTATTGGCGGGAAGAGCGGACTACAAACAATCAAATAGAAAGCAAATGCATGAGTGTCTCTACCTAATCCATGCGACTTCAATCTATTCATGGTTCAGACTGGGTAAGCAACATTCAAGTACTTACAATCAATCTTCTTGTGACTATGCAATTGTTATTTTCATGCTATGCTTCATTGAATCATTACTGCTGCCTAGGATAATTTTTTTCATCTATTATAAATGGCCCTTTGCTATCACTTGTATGCTCCAGTCATTTTACCTTTTTGGGTTTCATAAAGATGCCCCCACTTAATGTTTGGAATTTTATTCTACTCAAAACTGATTTGTCGTGAGGTTTACAACTCTTATTTATAATAAAGAGAAGTCACCACCCAAAAAAGAAATGACTAATTGAGCTAATTATGCTATAAATAAAAGGTCGTGCTAACTACGGTCTATTGGGCGTTCATTAAGAGCCAAATAATGCAAAAACTTACAATTGTATACACATTTTGCATATTCCTATACTACACTTTCATATAATGCAATTTTTGCACAGATACCAACATTACCATGTGGTGGTTAGCATTCCTATAAATAAAAGAAGACAGAAAATTCAAAAAGTGGAATATTTGTGTTGACCCCAAATCTGAAAACTAGAAAATCAAGGAGACAGTCAAAACAATTGCACTGAAAAGTGAATCTTCTAGAGAAAGTAATAACAAAACAAAAGTTTCCTAAAATGGTAAATTGCAAAATTGGAGGCTGAAACGAAGGGATCTGCCTGAAAACCACCTTCAGTTAGGTGCAACGGCGTGCCTTGACAGTTGGACCATTTCAGATTGACTTGTGTCTTTGGGTTGAATCTAACAACATCAGTTTGGACACAAAATTCCATTTTGTCATCTTGTGATCTAGTTGCTCCAAATACTTGCGCAATCAGATCTTACTGATGTTTGATGAGTACGAAGGAGATAGCGTCATTCAGGAATATCTGAGTCCACATAAGAGAAGGGGTAAGAGCGTCAAAACTGGTGGGAGAAGATGGAGGAAGAGCCTTTCCATCCTTCCTCATGCCTAGCATGCAGGGCTCTGTACATGCACCCTATTCATTTCTGCAGTACTTAGCTCTGATACCATGTGCCATGGTTTTTAGTAGAATTGAACCCCAAAAGCTAGCTTGTGAAGTTAGGCTGGCTTCCCTCACGCTTATACACTAGACATTCTCTTTGTACCTAGGTGATGTGAGTCTTCGCTTCACATAAACTTGGAACTCCCAGAATTTTGTATGGAAATATGTCTGGGCCTCAAAAAGGTTACATGTGAGATATTTTTTACCAATATTTTGGATACTAACTGACCCTCCCCAGATGTGGCAGTGTCCAGTGACTGATGGGAAGCCTTGTTTGTTGTTGGATATAGCCTAGATTTGGAGCTTTCAACTGAACTTGGTAGGTTCAGAATTTATATGTGAAATGATTATTTTGGATTATGTTCTAGTTTCTCAATATTTGGAGTTATATTGATGGTTCCCAAATATTGCAGCAATGAAGTATTTTGACACCTATTTCTACTTTCGGATGGATAAAATATAAGCTACTAGTCAAAATAGCTGCCTATTAATGTTATGCCTAAGCTGGAAATTGTAGGATCACAAGGGAAACACGTTCAATCATGGAATGGCAAGTTTATTATAATTATTTTTTTATTTCTGGTGTCTTTGTAAATGCAAAATGTTTTCTCATGTTTTTTACTCTATGTTGTTGCCCTAAAGTTCAGCCAAAACATCCCTTCTGCAGGACTCCAGAGAGGCAGCTTCGATTGTTTGATATAAGATTGAGGCAGACGGAAATCCATGCATTCGGGTGGAAGCAAGAAAGCAGCGAGTCACAGTCTGCTCTGATAAATCAGGCATGGTCCCCCGATGGATTATACATTACGTCTGGTTCAGCTGACCCTGTAATCCACATCTTTGATATCAGGTATAACGCTCGCAAACCTTCCCAGTCAGTCAGAGCGCATCAGAAACGAGTCTTTAAAGCTGTATGGAGTCACTCTCTCCCTCTCCTGATCTCCATATCGTCTGATCTGAACGTTGGATTGCACAAGATCATGTGAAGTTCTTGATCTAAGCAATGGCCCGCTTGTTTTGCTCACTTTACCCAACTGGTTGGGAAGTTTTGTATCTTGCTTTAATGAGGAACAACTAAATACATGAAATATAAAGTGTACCATGGATAGCAAATTTTGGGACTGAATTGAATAGAAATTGAAAAGTAGATTGGTGGGTATACATATGAACTGTAAAACAATTGAACGTTGGATAGACTCATTCATGATGTTCCCGAATACTTTTTTTTTATAAGAGGAAATAGAGGGGGAGTTGAAATGCATATCCCCTGTGGAAGATTTTAACTTTGAAATGCATATAAATTATAGTGCATTTTAGTGAATTAGTACAGTATCATATGGCAAATTGTGGGCATGGTTTTGCACTTGGCAGGGCTTTCTTTTGGCATGGATTTTCACCCTTAGGAGGGAATACAAAAGAGCTTTGTCCAAAACACATAGACAAAAATAAAAGAATATGTACATTGGTAAAAAGTCATAAACTTCAAACATGAAAGTTATATACATTAAAAGTTTCAAATGATTAAATTTTTAATTTGAGTTGTGAACCTCTTAAAATTGAGTTGCTTATACCACAAACCTTATGTTAGAGAGGGAGAACAGTGAACCTCTTGAAACCTTGGACTTCTATCTCCAATCCTTGCTCTTTTTTTTTTTTTTTCAACAAATCTATTTGAAAATTTCTAAACTTACCTAAAAACTTATTTTAATAATTTTTTATGAAAGAAAATCATCTCTATTCTTTACTTTTTTTAAGTTTTATCAAATTTGAGTAAAAATATGATTGTTATTTAGTGAAGGATTTTGTTTACTCTCGATTTCGCAAAATTTTCTTCTCCTCATGCCACGTGACAACTTTATATATGCTAAAATAAAAAAATTATTATAAACATTATAAACAAGTTTTGACCTCAAGATCTTGAATTTTATTAAAAACATACTTATCACTTAAACAAAATACATGTTATAATATTAAATTCTTTATTATTTGTTTTTATTATTAATTATTTGATTGTACACGTATTGTGTGTACTACCCGCTAGTCTATATTAAGTGAGGCTCTTTTTAGTTACTTGAAACTTTTAGCATGTGTCATTTAGTTAATAAATTTTAATAATTTTTTATGAAAGAAAATCATCTCTAATCTTTACTTTTTTTTAAGTTTTATCAAATTTGAGTAAAAATATGACTGTTATTTAGTGAAGGATTTTGTTTACTCTCGATTTGGTAAAATTTTAACTATCTTTTGATTTCATCTTTTAAATTTGCATTTGATGATGAAACAGGTGAAAGAATAGAAATGCTCGTCCGAGAGAAAATATTATCGCAAACTATCACATATGAGATATTAGTTTAGTGGAATTTTCTTCTCCTCATGCCACGTGATAACTTTATATATGTTAAAATAAAAAATTATTATAAACATCATAAGCAAGTTTTGAACCCAAGACCTTGAATTTTATTAAGAACATACTTATCACTTAAACAACACACATATTATAATATTAAATTCTTTATTATTTATTTTTATTATTAATTATTTGAATTATACACGTATTATGTGTACTATCCGCTAGTCTATATTAAGTGAGGCTCTTTCTAGTTTCATGAAACTTTTACCATGTGACATTTAGTTAATAAATAAATTCCTATCTTCCCACTCAATCACGTTCTTCTTCCATTAACTTCTTCTCTTCTCCCGTAAATTACTATCTCTTCTTTTTCTTCTAGGATTTCATTTTTTCTATTTAACAATTTTTAAATTTTTTTTTTTCCTTTTCCAACCATTGTTCTTCAATTAACTACTCTATATTTTTCTCTTCCCTCATAAATTACTTTCTCTCCTCTCTTTCCTCTAGGATTTCTTTTTTTTTTTTTCTGTTTAAAATTTTTTTCTTTCTTTCTTTTTCAACCATTGTTAAAGTAAAAGTATAAAGATAAGAATTGTCTGGTATGTTTTATTTATACAATTTCTTTTTATGTTATTGTTATGTAGAACACAGATTGAGTATTATAGTTGTGGGGATATATTTTCTGAGTACTAACACGTGGCCAAGATAACGCCGAGGTGCCACGTGTCCTGGTCATGACGCCGAGGTGATCTCGGTTAGGCCGAGGTTATCTCCGAAGATATCGGAATCTGAGATAAGTGGATAAGGGACAAAAGTCCTAGAATGAGGAAGGACTTTAGCATGGATAAGGATAACACTCTTAGGGAGTTTATCTTTATCTCTTGGAGAGTCTAGGATAAGCATTGAGCAGAAGTCCATTGAAGTTAGGCTTCTATGGGGGCTAGGATTAAGTTAACTATAAAAGAAAGGCACCCCCGATGGGTCTAAGGTACGCAATTATATTCTAAACAGTGAGTTTAGCATTATTGATTATCTTTGAGAGATATACTGACTTGATCGTCGGAGTGCCCCCGGGTGGACGAACCACTACCGAAATCTTCTCTTTCTGTTGCAGGTTAGATAGGTGCCATCTATTCTGCCAGTGCTCTCCAGCTGAATACTGAGTTGGTAGTGTGATCGAAAATTCACTCACACAATTTGGCGCCGTTTGTGGGAAAGAAAGGAGAATAGATGGCCAGCGACGGACAGAAGGATAAGGTTGGGGATGAAATCCCTGTTGGGAGTGGAAAACACGTTGACCCAAACGTGGAAGAAGATGGTCGCGATGAGGAGACTCAGAACCAGAATCACAGCAAGAAAGACGTCGGCCAGGATGGCGATGTGCCAAAGAAACCAAATCGAAGCGGATACTACAACGAGGACGAATTCCAAGTATGGAAGGATAGATGCCTGCGGAGGGACGAAGAGGTGAAAAAGATGGCAAACAAGTTGGCAGACCTGCAATCGGTCGTCAATTTTATGATGCAAAGTAATGTCATGCAGCCACCATACCCGCTGCAGGACACGCCGATTCCAGCGTCCAATGCCCAGAAGAGAGGACAGAAGCCAATCCCAATAGCCGCTCAGCACACTAGAAGCGAAAAACACTCTCACCGGCCTTCCAGGGAGGTCGGGCGAGGAGAGTCGAGGAAAGAAGAGTCACGAAGGACACATCGAACTAAAGAAGCAAACCCCAAAGAACATCGGCATGTTCAAAGGCAGGAGTTGTGCTTCGACACAACTCATGGAGAAAGGTCGAAAAGGGCCCACAACGAAGCTGAGAGTAATATGCCGAAAAGACTGAAGTCAAGAGACAGCCGAGCTCCTGGGCGGAGCAAGGAAGACCTGAGAGATTACCTCAAAAGGAAACAACATAATGTTGATGCCGAAGTAACTTCACCTGTTAAACCGAGAACACTATTCTCGGTAGAATTGGACAAATTTGAGGCACCGAAGAGATTCAGTATGCCGAGGTTCCAAATATACGATGGTAAGTCAGACCCCAACTTCTACGTTGGATTATACTTGAACTTAATCGCATTGTATAGTGGGAATGAGCCGTTGCTCTGCAAAGTGTTCCCCTCATCCTTCGGGGAGATTGCATCAGATTGGTTTCACAAACTACCAAAGGGAAGTGTGAAGGCCTGGGAAGGCCTAGCCGAGATGTTTGTCGCTAGGTTCGTGACAAACAAGCTGCAGCCATTAAGGTTGGACGCATTGATGGTTCTGAAGATCAGTAAGGATAAAGGCCTTAGGGCTTATGCAAAAAGATACTATGAGGTGTTCAACCAAATACCCGAATGTAGCCAAGAGGTGGCGGTCGTGTCTTTTAAGAACGGCCTGAAAGATGATTGCGCTCTACGGAAGTGATTGGCAAAGACATTGCCAAAAAGCATGGAAGAGCTCATGGCTAGAATTGAGAAGTATGCCAGAGCTGAGGAAGATACGTCGGGGACAAAGGAGACAAAGCAAGAAAAAGGAAACAGCTCGCCGAAGCGAGGCCGAGGGAACAATGGATCCAGCAAGCAAGAGGTAGGACTGGGGTCCACAAAGTCCTGGACAAAATTCGGAACCAACCCTATTTCAAAGCACCAGCAAGGGCACCAGGAGAGTTTATGGGAAGAAACCTTGGCAAACACTGTGCTTACCACAATGAAAATGGGCACATGACTCAGGGTTGTAGAGCCCTAAAAACACACTTAGAAGACCTGGTGAGGCAAGGCCATCTGAGAGACCTTTTCGATGAGGCTAGGATAAGGGAAGAACAGGCAAGACTACCTCAGGCGCCAGCAGCTCCACCTCCCCCAGCACAGCAACCTCAGGCAGGAGGACCTCGGGTAATTAATGTAATTCACTCGAAGGTCAACGAAAATGAGATTCGATGAGAGACCCAGAAGGTAAAACACCTACAGCATGTCTACCAAGTCGGGGAGAAGAGACATCGGGCAGAGGAGTGTCAAGGACCAGTAGTGTCCTTTACTGAAGCCGACCTTGAGATAGTGCAGCATCCGCACAACGACGCCTTGGTAGTATCCCTCCAGGTTGGGGAATGCCAAGTGAAGCGCATTTTGATTGACCAAGGCAGTTCTTGTGACATCATGTATGTCAGGTGTTACAAAGAGCTTGGCCTTCACCCAGACGATATGAAGCAATCCAACGGCCCAATGGTCGAGTTCAATGGAACGCCGACATGGCCACTAGAAGCAGTAAGCTTAGATGTGCAGGCTGGCACGAAGAAGATAAAAACGGAGTTCACCGTAATCGACACACCATCCCCTTACAATATCATCTTGGGAAGGCCATGGTTGCATGCAATGGGGGCCGTTCCCTTAGATTATGTTTAACACTTGTTGAAACTTAAAAAGTTTACAAGTTGAAGTTAAACCGAGATTATGTTTAACACTTGTTGAAACTTAAAAAGTTTACAAGTTGAAGTTAAACCGAGATTATGTTTAACACTTGTTGAAACTTAAAAAGTTTACAAGTTGAAGTTAAACCGAGATTATGTTTAACACTTGTTGAAACTTAAAAAGTTTACAAGTTGAAGTTAAACCGAGATTATGTTTAACACTTGTTGAAACTTAAAAAGTTTACAAGTTGAAGTTAAACCGAGATTATGTTTAACACTTGTTGAAACTTAAAAAGTTTACAAGTTGAAGTTAAACCGAGATTATGTTTAACACTTGTTGAAACTTAAAAAGTTTACAAGTTGAAGTTAAACCGAGATTATGTTTAACACTTGTTGACTTGAGAAAAGTTTACAAGTTGAAGTTAAACCGAGATTATGTTTAATACTTGTTAAAACTTGAGAAAAGTTTACAAGTTGAAGGTAAACCGAGATCATGTTTAATACTTGTTGAAACTTGAGAAAA